CGCCCATGCATGTTCAGCTACAGGGCTCGCCTTATTGGGGTTCTAGTACTTTGTGGTCCATTCTATCCGTTGGAACAATTCAGTTCGTAGCTGTCTCAGTCCTGAATGTCTTCAATCCTGGGTTCGTCACAAGTTGGAGCACTACATTGGGGCGGAGAAAGATGCATCTGACATTCTGGACATGTGTAGAGGTACCTCGAAAATATGTTATAACTTCAACATACATCGGCCATATATTTGCAAATGTCCTTTACCAGTGACCAGTTTGTATGGCGGAGCGAAGAATATGGCAGCGGAAGGAGGACAGTCCTGTGGCACAACACATTTTGACGATGGATGAGCTGTATCTGACTTGTCCAGTGAGTGCAGTATTGTCACCCTCTTTGGGTGGGCCTTTACATGCCTTTATAAACATAGCTAATATTCTATATGACAGGCATTGACAAAATTGAAGTGGATGCCATGGCCTCGAAAGAATCACAATGAACTCCCAATTACCAAACAACCTAAAGCCATCCACTTCTGATGTTTTGTTTTTGTCCCTGCAGGGAGTATATTAGGTACTCAACCACCTTTGCATTGGTGTGCAACTGCAGTCTCTCCATGGAGCATTTCCAATCCGCAGCGATAGGAAAGCTGAGAAAGACAAAACCAAAAAACGGATCGGCAAATCTGCTCAGATCTGCCAGGTGCGTTGCCACGCTGCCCTTCACCACGGGACTTTGCCTCTCATCCAGGAGCAAATATCGCTCGCTGCGGTGAAGGTTCTGTTATGTCACGGTGTTGGTCTCAACACGTATACCAGCAGCTCTCAAACCCTAAAAAAATAAAGGTCTTCACAAACCATCAAGTAGACACCATGCTTTTTGGTAGCGAAAACCCGGGCAGTCTTAATGGTTTGTGAGGCCTTTGGTCGTCTCATACCCCATGTAGACTCTATCGATCATGTCTCGGCATGCCTCGATCGACGTGGTGACCTCGATCGACTACCTCGCGGAGCTCAGGGGTTTTCAAGAGGCGCCCGAAAATAGAGACAGCGACCCTGACTAGGAACAAGGACGCGACGGACAGGCGGAGCCCATATTCTTAAGTAGGTTGGAGGCCATCGCTAGTAACAAGAAGCTACACGTTGGGCCATGAGACGAGCCAATACGTCGGTGCCGTCGGTAGGATGGGAGAACTGACGTGTCTAGGGTGACACACCTGTTGAGCACGTTGAGCAAGTCTGTGGAAGAGTCCGTTTTTTACACGCTTCCAAGAGTGCTTCCATCTGGCAGACGCTTCCAAGAGTGCTTCCATGTGGCAGGTCTGTTGTTTCCTTCATGGACCTTTGTAAATACACCCTCTTGGAATGATCATGGAAGTGAATGGCATGATGGCATCACTCACCTACTGCTTTTGTGGAAAATATTGGAAAATGGTCGTCCTGCCGGGGCCATGCCATCCACGATTTCAGGGAGTGGAGTGGAGGGTTCATGTACCACACCCAACTTTTTCATTTGGTCCAACTTTAAATGTGTTTTCTGCATTATATAACACTAACAGCCTCAATCGGCCCTTTGTGCCGCTGTGTGTTTTATACCTCTTCCAACCCCTGAATAAGTTGTTCCATTTGTCTCCTGATTGTTTGTGAGTGGAAATGAGATTGTTTTTTTTGTTCAACCTTTTGCCACCTTTGGACCCAAATCCAACATCAAACGAACACAAACCTTGGCCACCGTGCCTCCAAGCCCTTGGCTCGTGCCTCCAACAGCTCATGCCGCTAATGCCGAGATCGTCTTGCGAAGCCGTCCCCCGAGTCGACATCCCCAGTCGACCAGGGAAGACCAAAGGACCAAAGGGTAGATATGACACTCCTTGGTTTATGACACATTGATAAAGGTGGAAAGCAATCAAAGTAGCCATCAACCACCTATTCCGTAACTATTTGATATTCAGATATTTCCATGCCATAGTCGTTCGAAATTCGAAATGATTCATATGTCCTTCCACGTAACCCTGAAATGTCAAGGTTCATCCACACCGCGCCAAGCCTCCCAGGAGCCTGATCTCCCAACCGACGCTGACACATGTCCTCTTTGCCGCACCCTGCTTATTGGGATGGTTGAGCATCACAGGCGGGCGACCTGCGAGGGGCGCGCACCAGTGAAGGATGCGGAACGGGAAGACCCAGCTGGAACGGCATCTGGGCAACTAGGATAGATATTTTGTGGACAGGGTGGTTGAAGATGGTGGAAGGTGAGTTTTGGATAGTACAGTCATTTAGATAGACAATTGGTTTGGAAGGCTTTGGCTGAATTTCATATATTTAACTATTCACAATTTAACAAATCATCAAAGATCTTGTGATGTGAACTTGGTGCGGCCATTCTAGATCAAAAGGGTTGGAAATGACAACCACAGTGTCCTGTGACCTTGGAATATGTAGTACTTATCATATCAGCTAAGTATATACCTCCTTGGAAAGGCCAATAATTTTCTGTGTTTTTCCCAATGTTGGCAGATGTTGAACGGTTTCATCTCCACAATGTTAGCAGGTTTGCTATGAACTGTGAATCCTTTGGTTCATGTTTCATTTATTTTGAGTTGCAACCCCGTGGACCCGCCAACATTGTTTTGGTGTTTGGGTGGTCGGCATCCAGAAATCAGGTCGGAACACTCAGGCGGAACACAGAGATGTAGGTCGATGTGATTCCTTAGATGATTTCGTGCGCAACATCTTTGTGTTTGTGTTCAAAATTAATACGGAGCCCTCCTGAGACAGGATTGAACATGTATTTGGCAATCTGATACTTTCCCAACTTCTTGGGACAGCTTTTATTAGACTGTGTTTCTTTTTTGTGGGATTTCCTACATGGTCCTTGGTACAAGACTTTGATCGGTTGCTTGCGGAATTCTGCCCCAAAGGGTTCCAGGGTGATTTTCGCTCATATCGCCCCGGGCCCTGGGTCTCGAACGGGTGTTCTTGGTGGATTACTATATCACTAGCATCCTGGAGGCGTCTATGATGCAAATTGATAATTTCACAAGCACCATGCTTGACCAAAGCATTAATGTTTATTAATGTTCTGAGATGCGCATCCTTACTCAACGGAGAAGGATTCTAAAGTTGACGACAAGTCAAATTCTGTATACTGTAATAAACCATTGGAAAACTGTGACGACTCTGTGGCGGTTCTTAATGGCTGGCAGATCCCTGCAAGTGGAAATGATCCCATGGGAGGGGCTTGGATGGACATGATTCAGACCGGTGAGTGCTTCCGCTGTCTTCATGAAGAGGTGGACAGCATGGGGCCATCATTCTTTCTGGGAAAGTAGTAGAAATAGAAAGTTACAGGGAGGGATTTGTATATTTATATACTGTACGGACGAGCAGGTATCAAAGACCAAGAACTAAGGGATAAAGGACCCTTACTATTAGATGAAATTAGATAACAAGATAGGGTGTCTAAGTTCTTGGAGACTTCTTAAAGTCTTGGTTCAGGTATCAACCCACTTTAAAAACTTGGACAACTCGTACTAGTGGGTCCTCCTTGACCCACCGACAGTAGACTGGGAATCACAACTGCCGCTGTGAGCAGCCGAATCGGCTCAAACACGAACAGTACGTTCTCATAACGGACTATATGCATCATAGGATGCATCAGTTGACCATGTTATTTGTGTGTTCTGGATCTCATGCCGCGACCTTCACCGTACTAACCTGCGAACCGCAGTAGCAAAAAGCCGTCTCAAGCCCTTGCCGGCGCACCCATCAACCCTCCCCTGCAAGATGGGCATTTTGGGGAGTGCTCTCTCGAGCTCGTCAGATGCATTTCTCTGAGTCCCTGAACAGCTTCCCTCCTCGACACTCGGGAGCCGCAGGAGTCGCACACGGTCAACCAAACCCTGCACAGTCAGTGGATAGCCAACCTAAATTCCTTGAACCAACTTGAACCGTGTTTCTTTTCCAAACAAAAAAATAGATAAGGGAGTCAGAAACAGATCACGTGAATCCTGCGACTTCGCTGATCGGTTCGCTCCATCCCGGCGATCCTCCGATGGCCGATCCCGGCGAGGCCGGCGAAACGGGTGACCTGGTCGCTTTCCGTTCGTGGAGAAAGGATCCGGAGCTCGGAGGTGGTAGGAGAAAGAGAAGGAAAGCCACAAAACCACTTATACCAGGGCCTTCAAGGGGTGGTTAATGGACACCCCCTTAACGGCTAAGGGCACCCCTTGGAGGATCCTGGTATAATGTCACCTCTTGAACATCTAGCGAAGTGTCAACTGCATCGTCTTGTTTTCGAAGTGACCTAATCTATCCACCCTATCCGTGTCCGCTCTCTCCCGAGTCCACACGGACCCCCCTTGACCACGGGGCTGAAAGGTGGGAAAGGTGAGTGTTTGGCGGCGATGACCGTGACACCACGGAGACGGGGACTTCGATGTCACACCATTCATCGATCCACGCAAAAGGTGGTGCGCCTGGAAGTCGGAAGGTGGTGCGCCTGGTTCAGCAGATGTTGGGTGGACCTTATGTTCTTCAACTTGGACGATCCTGTTTGCAGATCAGGTTTTGAAGCCAGAGTGCGTGAACATGGACAAGATGTTGGAGGGCAAGGGCAACAAGAAGCTTAGCAGGGGCAAAGATGGGGACCAATAGCCTCTCGAAACCAAGAAGCAGTGTGCTTCAGCTTCTTGCAAAGCCTCTGTTCCTTTGAGTTATGTTTCTTTTATTTCGGACCTGCTCTATGTATTTAGCTGTTGATCCTGTAGCCAGTGTTGTTCACAAGTTTTTTTGTTTTTCCAAGTCTCTTAAAGACTACAGACTATGATCTTTCATGCATATGTATTCCGTATTAGGACCTTGTGGTTTCAAGGTCCTGGGTGCTTTCAGGGGTGTCTCATCCTGAATCCCATCCCAGTCTCCGACGGGAAGAGGGCGCTTTCTTCGGCGCTGCGAAGTGAGGGTTGACGAGGGACAGGAGGACGACCTGGGACGAACGAGGGACAGGTCGTCCATGTCCAAGAACGACCCAGAGGTTGTCCATTTAGTTGACCGGTGGTGTAGGGTTTCTTTCTGATCGGTGGTGTCAGGCTGATGAGTTGCATGGCTCGGCCAGGCTCCAAAAGAAGCGAGCAGCTCAGGAGGTGAGCAGTTCAGCGGTCTCCCGTTGGGAGTCAGGGTCTTTGGTCTGAAGCACTTGAAACATCTTGAAACTATCGAGAGGCTAAGCATGGCTAAGCCATCGTAGCGAAGTCAGAGGGAGTTTCAACTCGTTGGTTGCTTGAATTATCTCAGTTCGAAGAAAGCAGTTCAGCAGCAGTTTAAAGATTTGCTTTGCCTGATGATCCTTCTCGATGGACGAATTCGAGCCCAAACCTCATTAGAGCCCCAAAATAACATCAAGATCCGACCTGGCACGGTTTTTGGTGCGTGCTCGGATCTACGCGGCACACACCTTGCGCGACCGTCCGCAGGCGCGACGTCGAGCGCTCGACATGGCTTGGCCTCATGGGCCTCCAAACTTGGACAGAAGGCAGATCCGTCGGTGTCCGTATACATAGCGGGAGGGCCTATACTCACACGCGGGGAGCCGGTGTACACGGGCGGTTTGATGGTTTCTGGGGGTTGGATCGAAAGTGTGGAGGTGTGCATGTGTTTGTTGGAGTTTTTTTTGCGTTGAAGACGACAGGGTTTGTTTCGCACAGACACTTGGGGAAGAGTACATACATATACAGGTACAAGGATCACCTTTCAATGGGTGCACCATAGTATGATATACCATCGATCGTAGGGACATGAATGGGACACCAAGTTCACATGATCACAGGATTCTTGTTTGATCTGAGAATATCTGAGAATCATACCTTTATGAGAAAAAAACTGCCTGCAATGATCACTGCAATGTCTATTAAATCCTAAAATAATTAGTGTCTATAGAATCCATTAAAAGCTGCCTGCAATGTCTATTTAACCTCAAAAGATCTGAGTGTTCTTCGTCACATTCACTTGCCCAACCTTCCAACTCTTACTAGCAAGAAACACGACTGCTAGTTGGAGAGGTTCACTCACTGAAATCGCAGGCGTCGCCTTGACTAGTCTTTTGGGAACCTGCTTTTGGAACCCGTGACTCCCACCCCAATTGCCCCCATTGCCGCGACCCCCATCTCCCCGCCTCATCGGCTAACCCGCGACCCGCGCCCGGAGGCCTCTGAGTTGAAGTCGGTGACGCAAACGGCAATGCAGCAGACCAAGGAGGCCGTCATCGGAGAGGCCCAAGAGACCGTGGCATCGAATTCGGGTGGTCAAACAGGGCAATGACGTGCGTGTCACGGGCCAGTTAGCGTGGAGAGGCCTGAGGAACAACCAGAGAATTAGTTTGCAATCACATGGGAATTGGATGTGCATCTCGCAGGTGGTTGCTAGGTTGGATGGAACAATTCCATGCAATGAACTGTCGTTTACAGATGGGAAAACGCACAAGGGTTGCGAACTTGCCTCCAAATGCCAAAACATGATCTATATCTTACAGGGCCGCTATAGGGATGTCTTGGGTTTTGTTGCTACTTAAAACGACTACTCGATGCTTTCAGTAGTAAACACTATGCAAACCATCAGTCAGAACGTTGTAGTCCGATGCGCCAGACGTCTCGTCCCGTTCGTCACGTGCTCGCGCATCGCCACCGCCAAGTCCGTGCGCCAACGGTCCTTTGATGCGCTGGTCGACGTTCGTGCGCCGGACCTGTCCTGTTTCGAAGGCCAAGATCGTGGCGAAAGATATGGTTGACTTGAAGGTGCGGAGCGATGCAGCCAGCGCGGGAAAGATGCAATGCATGTGGCGTCATGTGGCTGTGTAATAGGGAGAGCCCCGAGAGCCCAATGGGTAGACTGGTATGTTTCCTTCCAGGCGGTCGATCTGGGAAGTCTCCCTTTTTTTCATTGAGTTTTGTTGTGTTTAACATGCAATAACAATCTCAACCCTGGAGAGTTTGTCCCTTTGGGGATGTGCGGCACATGTGCTTCCGTGATTGACTTCTTACGAGGTTGGCATATATTGACCGTTCCTGCTTACGCCTTCCAGGATGTATATGTGCATAGATCGGTGAAGTTGTTTTGAAGCTTTTCTCCGATCCTTTGGAAGGGGCAATCAGGTGCTTTCAACGCAGTCTCCTGAGCTGGTCGGGTGTTGGGAACTGGACCTCATACCAGCTCGGCACTTGATGCATTAAAGCAGTCGTAACTTGACACCCGTAATGAAAACATCCAAATGAACCGGTTTTACACTCCAAATGGGAGGGATGGTTTTGATGAATCCAAGGACCTACACTTTGTTGGACCCCTTGCAGTTGGGAAACTCGCCTTTCACAAGGCACTGATTAACCCGAGTCACCCTTGTCGTCCGCGGAGGGTTTGGTCGGAACATTGGGGAAAGTTGCTGGAACATCCGACAGAACCTTTGGAACCTTTGCTGGCTAACAGCAGTGACCCAACTGGATACTTGTTTATATAGAATTATAGAGAGAGGTACAGATATACACGGGTGAAATTGCACTAATTTATTTTGAACATATTCTCAAGTTACCACTCCACATTCTTGCACAATAGAATGCATTCAATAAGTGTCTGAAAGCGCTGGTAAAATGGCAAAGGCCTGCCGACTGTGCTCTTCCTCCTCGTGTTCTTTTTCCTGACGCGCGCTCTAGGGCCTTGAGTTGGTCGGAGCGACTTGGTGATCCTTTTTTTTACCTCGAGTTGATCATCCAAACAGACCCAGAAATGGCCAGAACACTTACCGTAAGAACCCCTAAGTGTGTCCACACTGTTTGGGGAACAATTTTACATCCAGGTTTCTTGTCACCTTCCTACTCCTTTTTGTAGCATGGAGAGAAATAGTAGACTAATAGACTCCCCAGGAAGTGTAGGTACCCTGACAGTAGTTGTTACGAAGCATCTCCAATTCTACCACCGACCATTAGAAATATTTGGACTACTGGGCTTTCCACAGCGAGGACGGTGTGGCAGAGGGCATGCGGCTCACGGTGCAAGACAGCCACTTGTTGCGGGAGAGGCAAGGCGGATGAAGGGATGTTTGGTGCTTTCTGTTTGTTTGAGTGTACATGAAATCGTCTAACATCTATTACATTATATTACAATTCTATTCTGGACTTTGACATTTACAACCACCCTGCAACACTGTATGTTATTGCAGGCATTGCAGGCGTGCATTGTGTTGAAGGGTTTGCTGATGGAGTAGTTGACTAATGGACACCCCTTGTCCTCGTAGATTCTGACTTGTTTGAAAGTTCATCAGATCTTTTGAACCTCATATTGACTGTAAAGCGATGCTTGGCAAAGGGTGATCAGCCCAGTGAGGCCATATGAGGCCATGCCTTTGAGGGTGGAGCTTCGGCCTGCGGTCACCAACCTCAAAAAAAAGAGGTGACCCAAAGCCTAGGGTGTGCACTATGTCTTTGTACCTAACCACAGGTGTTCAACGAGAAGCTCAGAGCAGGCTTACCTTTTTTCTTCATGGCAATGGGTCCAGACCGCAGGACCCAATGGTTCTTCCCACCACCGAACATGAACAGAATAGACGACCTAATTACGGGCTCGAGTGTCAACCTACCAGAAACTATAGGGCTTTGGCTCTTGACTAATCACATGGACCTGTTCCAAACACTGATGACTGGGAAGCCGATGACTCGGACGAAGCAGTTGTTTGAACTGTCAAGTTTTCCAAGTCACCGAACGGACAAAAATAGCAGCTGAGAGGTCCTTTGCCTTGAACTTGTTTAAAATCAGGTTCGATCAAAAGCTCGCCGCAATCTGCCGGATGTAGATATCCTTGGGCTACCACGCGACATGTCCATGAACAGTAGATCCTTTTCCGCTTGGTCAGCCGTTTCCGCTTGCCATACCACTCAGCTCCTACAGCCTCAGCTTCCAATCATTTGTTTTCAGGTGCCGCCAATGACAGGATGACAAAATATTCCAAGTGTCACAAACCCATCACAAAGTTGAATGCGACTTCGTCAAAACTTGCTGGGATTTAATTTGTTTGGGGTCCATTCCAGTGAACTCGAAAGCTCGCTAATATGGAACTTTGGGGTGGGGTCGAGGTACGTACATCTACGATAGTGCACTGATCATCAACATCCTTCAGAATGGCACTGTTTTCATTACTGTCATAAGGATCTGCAAAAAATCCACGTCTTGGTAAAGGTTTTGGTGACCATCAAGTATGTGCATTTTGTTTCTGGACATGCATGCTTAGATGGAATGTCGACCATCCAAACAACAGCATGGAGATTCTCAGATTGTTTTAACTGCTCCGTTTGTACTATTTCTACTCCGCCCATTCTTTTTGTCTACAGAAGAGATCAGAACCTCTTTATTTGGGAAGAAACGCCTTTCAGAAGCCACATGGTCGTCTGCTAAGAATGCGTGTGTCCTTTCAACCGTTTTGGTGTCTTTGCAGCATGCGATTCGCGCCCAGCATTTCTGGTCTTGACCTCGCCCGGTATGCTGGGCTGACTCAGACTGGCATGAAATTGGGGTCTTGGCCCAAAGCCCGCGATCCGTGAAGCCGTGACTTCCAGATAGTATACCTACCCTCAAACAAGTGCAAAGACTAAGAGGAGAAGACATGACTATAACACTTGCATGTTCCTCTTTTGGAGCCACGCGAAGTGAAGAAAGCTCGTCGGGCGCCAGGCTCCAGCAACAGACACGGAAGGTCTTTCATCGAGAGGAGATGAAGGGAGAAAAGCGGCGTGTGGTCCATGTATCTGTGCAAGTGAGGTCCAGGATCTGATATAAGGAACCCAGATTCCAGGCTACTTAGGCTTCTTGCTATTGTGGTAGCCGCCAAATCCGCTGGTGAAGCAAAGGGTGCACGTAGAACATGGCTACCTGGAAGGCAGCTTGTGCTTCAATTTGTGTTCAACAAACTGTTTTTTTTATGATGCTTGCCCAGTTTGTCCCAGTTTGTCCCAATTTCTGCGTCAATGACACTGCTAAAGCCGCTGCTGCCCAGCCTGTCATACCTTGAACCCCATGTGTCCCTCAAGGCACTACAAATGCGGAACAGCTTGGCTGTGCTGAATCAGATCAAGGGGGGCCTCTTATTTGGGTTTCATTATAGCCTCTTGCATCGCCAAAGAGCTTGTCAACATGTTTGTTGTTTTGGGTTGGAATGGACACGGGCTGGCCTACTGGTCATCAATAGTAAATTGATCCTTTTTGGCCATTCAGTAGATTGATAACCCGTCATACATACTATAGTATTGTAATTGTGATTCTATGTGGCAAAGCTGGAGGAGGCATTAAGTGGGAGTATGAACTGCAATGAAACGGTTTGAGGATGATGCTCTTGCGGTTCTGCAGCCAGAATGTGCATGACGGAGAACATGAAAAACACCTTGGTGGATATGTTGCTGTTACATAGCTGACCTCCAGATGATAGCAAATAATATAGCAACCAAGAAGGACGCAGAATCCGGTAAAGTAATTATATATATATAAATATGGTTGTGTGTTCAATAGGAGACCCCAATCAATGGGTTTTGGTCTATGTTCCTCCTTCCCAGGGGAGGTCTCGCTATTAAGATACGCACTCATACAGTGGTTTCAGTGTAGATGGCACAATCCCCAAGCTTGGTGGTGTTATGGGGGTCATATAACAAACATCTTGGGATGCTAGTGCCATCTACTCTGAAACCACTGTATGTCGAAGAGTCTTTTCAGCGATCCTGTCAAACCCTCTCCCCTGGTCGTCTCAGCGAGGAGTCCTCTTCCGCTGGGGCAACTTCAACATCCTCCACCGAAAAAAGGCCGATCGGTTTTGGGGCGTTGTTTACCAAAACAGGTGATGTTCGATGTTCGACTTCCATGGGATTTTGTTCGTCAGAGAGTATTATACCAGCACCCTCCAACAGGTGCTTCCTGGTGACAACAGGTGCCAGAAACCACCTGTTAGGGTCTCCAAACAGCCTGGCCAGGAGGGTCCTGCTAGATATATCATCAAAGAGATATCAAGAGTCCACATTAAACCCCAAAAGAGAACTGAAACAGAGGTCCCCCGAACCACCGTGCCCCTATTAAGGGCTCGTTTTGTTGTCAAACGCAGCAACAGACAGTGCCGCGGCCGAGCGCCGGGGTGGTTCGTCGGAAAGCCGACCATGACCATGAAACACGTCAGAAAGCGTGGGAATCGGATCGTGTTGGATTCCGAAGACCTGGATTTTACTGCTAAGCTTGCGGGGGGGCCGATCAAGTAAACACCAAACCAATGCGACAAGACACAGATGGGGCATGATGGGGCCGATCATTCGCATGTTGGCCACATGTGTCACTTGTCACCTCCCATTCTGCATGTTCAACTGCTGTGAAGCCCCACGTCCATCCGACTAACGGATCTGTCTTCCGGGGTCTGTCTCCAGTTTTGCAAGGCCCGAGGCTGAAGGCACTCCAGGCTGGTAGGGCGGAGGGCGGAGGGCACGCCGCCAATCCAATCGATCTACTCGGCCAGATTTGTTTTCTGAGAGGGATTAAAGGGACCCATTGAGCTAACCTGCTCTGGCATTTATCATGAACTATAGTCCCACAGTCCTGGCCTTGCACATCAGGGAAACATCTATACTGGAAAAACAAAATCCATAGTTCCATAGTTAGTTTTTGATAGTTTTAGTATATGTTTTATAGTGGTGAAAACAGGCAGATGTTCACGTGGCACCGATTCATTGACTTTGTGTTTTCTTCTGCGCCCAGATGTTGGAGACGTGAATATTTCGGATGACCGGACGTGGGCGCCCACCAGGGTCCTGACCCTCACAGAGGTTGGAGATGGAGACCCAGGCTACATTGCAGTGGCGCTGCTGGGTGCTGCTGGGTGCTGCTTGCTGCTTGCGGCTTGCTTCTTCTGCAGAATCTTCCAAGCTCGTTTCCAGGTGAGAAGCACACCGAAGAGGCGCCGAAGGGTTTCTTCCGACCCGACGCCTGGGCAGCAAAGCGTTCTTCGAATCCGGTGGACGGGCGTGGTGGACGTCAATTCCCGGTGTGAGAGGGACACCGTCCTTCCCTGGGGAAACGACTGTGACTGGTTTGATGACAACCAGGATCCGAGGGACGTTCTTGGTAGATGACCAGTCCGACCCTAAGCATCAAATCTTCCTGGCCCACCTTTCAGAATTTCGAGAAGATGTTGTTATGTGTTGTGGACAGAACTACCAGGGCCCCCCGCCCCTTCAGGGCTTAAGGGATGTCCATGAACCACCCCTATCCGGCCGCCCTACTACCATAGGCCACTTTTCGGGCAAGGATCGAGGCACCACTGGCGCCCCACGACGAAGTTCGTGGGCGCCGGCCGAAGGCTTCGTCGCCACGTGTGTACCGCCGAGGAGACCACAGAGCAGCTGAAAGGAAAGGTGGAGGACCGGTATTGGAGGGGGCAAACAGGACCAGACGCCAGACAAATGAGATGCTTCTTGTTTCATCCACGTCAAGAGAGGCTCTGGGAAGCGAACGAAGGCGCAGACGAAGCGACCGCACTGCGCACCGCACGAAAGGGCGACGTCTTGCCGCCTTGGCAGGATCTCAAGGCTGGCGGGAAGAAGGTGCGATGTCAGATGTATTAGTGTAGTTTCAGCAGGAACCTTTGGACACTCTTCCTGGAAGGTGCTTGGGTGTGCTAAGGTCGTTTTGGGATGGACCTTGAGCCCCAGCCCCGTGAACCTCCAGCTTCCCTCTGAGGTTGTGGACACCAAACAGATTCTTCAAGAAACTCCCACCTGGTTCGGTCATGTTCGGACAAATACCACCCACATTCGTGGGTTTCCCTCTGATTTCAAGTCATCGAACCGCACCCTCACGCCATAGGATTTACTCATGTCTTGATTCCTTTGCCCACCCTCCAGTGGCCAAAAACTAGCGGAAGGCTCTCGAGTCAAATCCTGTGTTGGTGACTACACCCACCCAATCAATGTGATAGCCTCGTCCTACGACATGTGCATGGTTGGGTTCGACGAGAAAGACCCAAACTCTGGGACCCACTGCAAGTCTTTCTACCCTGATCCGTCAGTGGCAGGTTGGCTGGCAGATTGTTTCCCTTATCGAGTCGTCCCCGAATGAAGCCCGCAACGAACGCGATACAAGACAACTGGGTCATCATGGGTCACACAAATCCAGATTTGTTTCGTTCGCGGTCCTTTTTGACCATGTGCACTGCGATGCCACAGGACGCCGGATAAACAAGAAGACTTGCAGCTGTTACCCCGTGAGTCTGAGGTGACTTTGAAGAAGCTGGCTGCCCAACAGCTTAAAACCGAGATCCTATCAGTCGAGTATGTTCTTCCACCCCCACAAAATCAGGCACCATCTTCACATCAATACGCATTCACCCAGTTCTTTGCCGACCATCTACCGACCCGCTCGGTCGTCGTGTCGTTCCGCTCTACGCTCGGCCCTTCCGTCGTTTCGGTTCCGCTCGACCTCATCGTTCGGGAAGGCGGCCGAGAAGGTCCGGGACGTGGGCGGGAAGCTTTGGCACAAGACGGACCATTGGCTGCTCGGCGGGTCGGAGAGTCCTCTTCAACGACCTCTCTCATGGAGTCCTTGAAGAATCGGTTGGTTTTTGTTGGGGGGGTTCTCCAAGAGGTCCATGCGGGAAAAGGATGGGAGGCATGCCTGATACCTCATGCGGGTTTCAGCTATAGAGGTTACTGCATGCTGGCTAGCCGATCAAAGCTGCAGGTTGCAGTGTTTGATTGTGCGTGAAGATTCTTCTGCCACTAGAATGGACCCGGATCTTGGAGTTCGTGCCCCGGTTTCCACATCAGCCGACCTCGGCAGTGGTGCGCCCTGGACTGAACGCCTGTTCCAGCTGCGGTGTGTTGCCGAAACATCAGGCGGAAAACAATGGAAAACATGTCAGAAGACATGGCAAACCTGATGCCTGCGCAAATGTTAGAATTGGTCTCAGAATACATTCCAGAGCACATGACAAAAACCCATGTCAGAACACATGTCAAAAAAAGACATGTCAGACACAATACGTTTGAATATATATATATATATGTATAGGTGTCAGAACACCTGCCCAAAGAAACAAAAACACGTGGACACATATGTCAGAACAAGTGTCAGAACACATATAGTATGTCAGTCATAACAGTACATTTCAGGACATATGCCAGGTTTGATATAATATCAGACTTGTTGACAGGACAAGTACATGTATAAGAACACAGAACACATGCCAGAAAGCATGTCAGAACACACTCCAGGACTCCAGAACATTTCCCAGCCTTCATGATAGGTGTCAGAACACATGTCAGAACATTATGTTTGTGCACGTGACAGACAGCGTTTATTAGCATAATCGGTCAATACTACGTGTGCCCTGCCAATCGCTTCTCAGGGTCGAGGATGGATCGAAGTAAAGTAATTTTGCATGTCCTGGAAATGGGGAACCGCCGGACCATCCCCGCTGTCCTCCACCGGTTTTCACACACCGTGCACCAGTGGAACTTGCACCTGTGAAGAATCTGAGGCTCCAAAGCCTGCGAGGGCACGAGGCTGGAGAGGCACCGTTTTACTGTCCAAACCGTTGGGTATGGCATGCGGCAACATGATGGCAGTGGCTTGCGAGGAGGTTTCCAGCAAGATGTTGAAGAAGATGACTCATGGTTCCAAAGTATAGTTCACTAGAAGTTCTGGCAGTATGACAGGATGGAATATAATATAATATTGCGCTTGGGATGGAAACCGGCACATGATACCCTTCCTTTGTTTAGCGTGGCAGGTTAGCTGGAATGGCAGTTTGGAGGAAGAGGAAGAGGATTTAACGTCAGACCCCCAAAGCCTTGTCCACTTTCCTAAGGATATGAACAGCATGGAACCTTCGATCCTGCTCGTCTAACCCTTTTGGTTGGTTTCCATGTTGAATTGAAGAAAATAGCTGAAGGGCCAACCAGACTCCGGTGCTGAAAGTCAACGATGTTGATGTTTTCCAGGGGAAGACAACAAAGGTTTGCCCAGATGCTCAGCAGGAAGTGACGGTGGTGGAGGAAGTGCCGAGAAAGGAATGGAGTGAGAAGAACTTCTCTTTTGCACCTGTCTAGGGAGCCAGTTGGAGCCAGGGGGAGTATCTAATTCTTAGGGTGTAGCCCGTTACCAGTAACAGTTGGTAAAAGATGATCACTATTTTTCAAAAAGGCCCTTGCTAACCATCATCATCCACTGTTACTGGTAATGGGAATATACCCAAGATATTCTGAATCCGGGAGCCAAGGAGCTACAGGACGTTCCCCACCCCTTTTGCTAGTTATGGATTTAAAACATGACCCAAAGGACGAACCCTGCGGGGTTTCCGGGAAGCGACCACGTGAACTTCGGTGTCGACATTGTTTTCAGTGGTGGCTGCGGCGTACACTCTCAGAAAAGACCAGGTTAGGACACCTGTCTTTGTAGTTGCGCTGCGGTTGCTACGTATATGTGCCGGAGACAATGCGGCAGAAGCCATTGCCGCTGTCTCCAAAAGGCCATTGCACCGCAGATCAATTTGTTGCGTTCTTCTGCCCCCAATCCAATCGAACATCGCAATCGCAACCTGATGGCAGTTCAAGGACTCAACAAGCAGCCTGGTCCCGAAAGTGTTCCAGGCGCACTTGCCCTTTGTCGCTTATATAAAGGCCAAGGGCTTCAGTCCACCCTTGCAGTATATGTGAATCAGGCGTTGTGGTCGCTGTGAAAAAGAGACATAACCCGCGACTCACCTAACCCGGAATTTTGGTCCTCGTCAGAAAGCTCTGCTTTTTACAGTGCTAAATGCACCCACTCAGCTTTTCAACACTCAGCAAAAATAACTCATCCTTTCGAGCTGGTCAACGAGAGATCCTGCATCTTGAAGCACTTGTGAAGCTCTGACATCATGTCTCAACTCCCTACAAGGAGCAGCTTTCGTGATGAGTGGTGCCAAATCTGCCGCTTTTGCATCACCTGTGCCTCAGATATCAGGAAACTCCATCATCGGATCCATTTGGAGCATCTATGAGCATCGGTCTATGATCGACAAACAAGCTACGAACGGGGCTGGCCTTACTACGAACGGAGCAAGAAGCTCTAGAAACAAGATATTAATATAATATTACTATATATTTGCTTAGAATTAGAATTCTATGAATAGAATTCTCGGCAGATGTATTTATTAGAATTATAAATTAAATTAAAAAACCAGAATGTTTGAGGGTCTTGTTCAGCTTGTTTGACCAAGCTAGTTCTTGTCCCGTCTTCGGAGCGGATGGATAAGACGCTGCTTAAGTCACTATAAGTCAATTATTGTTGATGATTACAGTTGTTTGGTTGGTTTCTCCAGTGTTTAGATGTTGGTTTTAAGTTATTATATATATATTCTTCAGTTTCAGTGGTTCGTTTATGTTTGTTTGGTTCAGTGTTGAGCTTCTTGGGGTCTTCGTTGGTGCGGCATGTTGATAGTACGGGGCCTCTCAGGGCCATCGTGACCATTCGTGTTTTGAAACGGCGCGATTGGCCGGGAGGATTCGGGAATCGGAAATGGCCCAGAAGTTCGGGAGCTTGGGGGTGCAAGTTCAGGTCTTTTAGGAACTCAAGCGGAGGAATCAGCAGTGGATCTGAAAGAGTCTTGAGCTCAAGAACTTATCAGTTCAGGGATGTTCAGGGAACAAGACTTGTCAAAGCACAAAGAGTCTTGAGCATGAACGGATCATCAGTTCAGGGAACTTTGTTCAATTGGTTTCTGCATGTTTCTGCGCATTTCCCCAAAGGAACACCGACCCCAGACGGGGAGTCGCATGTTCTTCTCTAGGTGACCTAGGTGCAACTTGATGCAACCCCAACTTGGGTGATCAGCAGGCTAAACATGGCCAAACAATGAAATCTATGTCGCTCGCACCGTCATTTAGACTCTGCTCGCTGTG